AGCATACAGGGAGGGCGTGGTGACCTGCAGGGGCGGGGATTCAGCATACAGGGAGGGCGTGGTGACCCGCAGGGGTGGGGATTCAGCATACAGGGAGGGCGTGGTGACCTGCAGGGGCGGGGATTCAGCATACAGGGAGGGCGTGGTGACCTGCAGGGGCGGGGATTCAGCATGCGGGGGGCGTGGTGACCTGCAGGGGTGGGGATTCAGCATGCAGGGGGCCGCACCCACCTCGGTGAAGACGATGGCGGTCATCCAGAAGCGCTTGCTGGGCCGCGGGCTGGACAGCATGGCCCAGAGGAAGACGAGCACAGGCAGCACCAGCGAGCTGGCAGAGGCGGTGACCATGTGGTTGAGGATGATGATAAAGTAGCACAGCAGCTCTGAGTGGGCGGCCACGCACTGGTACACTGCCCGCAGCAGCCGCAGTGCCCGGCCCTGCCCCTCTGCAAACAGCTCCGCTTCCTCCAGCTCAAGGATGCGCAGGCGCCTGCGGGGAGGCCCGCGAGTTTGGGGGAGCCCGGGACTGCTCAGATGCACAATGGCCCTATCTGCTGCCAGTCCCAGACAGGCTGCACCCCTGCAGGGCCGTGGGGAGGCCAGTGCCTCCGTGTCCCGCCCGTACCTGTCCAGGAGCAGCTCGCTGGCCGTCCGCATCCGCACCCGGTGCAGGGAGGCACCAGCCTCATGCTCCACGGGGTCGGTGACCACCTCCTCGCTGCCACTGCGCGTGTGGTAGCCGGTGCTCAGGGGGCTGCCTCTGTCGTCCGTCATACTGCTGAGCGGCTCCTCCGTCCCCAGCCCACTGGGAAGTGAAGCCGGGTCACAGGAAAGCCTGGCCTGACCTCAGGCTGCAGGGAGGGTAAGGGCAGAACCCACACAGTCCTTGGGGGTACAAGGGAAGGGCAAGGGTCTGGGATGGCTGGGCACTGCCACCCTCCAGTGGCAGCAGCTGGGGCTCAGGGGTCACCCCAGCCCCTACCTGGACACTGTGCTTGGTGCGTCGGGGGCCTTGGTGGGGCCTGGCAGCGTGGCCTCAGCCTGGCTTGTGTACAGCTGGAACAACACGCCCCGGTCCACTTCTCCACCCTGCAGGGCACAGGAGGGGGTTCAGGGCTGCAGAGACTGTCCCAGCTCTAGTCTCTGCAGGCGATTTAGGGGATGGAGTGGGCACGGGACTGGGTGGTTAAGCGGGCAGGGGTGTGCCCGGGCGCAGAAGGCTCACCCGCAGGAGCTCCTGTGTGAGGAGGTAGCGCTCTGCGCGCAGCACGTCACTCATGGTGCTGTGGTGCCGGGTGAACTCCTGCAGCCAGCGCGTCAACCCGTCCACCAGTGCCTGCCCCAGCACCCACAGAAACTGCGCCGTGCTCAGCACCCGCTGCACCAGGTGGCTCCGGCCTGCGGGAGGGCAGGAGGGTGAGAGGGGTGCTGGAGGGGCAGCCTGTGGGGCCAGGAGAGACCTCCCACTCCCCGGGGGCCCACACACCTGAGGCCACCTCCTCGGGGTGCTCTGCCAGCTCCACCTCCTGGCTGGGTCCACCTGCTGGGCACAGGACACTGGTCAGCAATGGGAGGCCCTGCCACCTCCCCTCAGAGTCCCCATGCCCCCCAGCTCACCTGTGAGCAGCTGTCCTGCCTGTTCCTGCCGCCGTCGCCTCAGCACCGTCTGGGCGTTGGTCACCCATGCCTGGTATGCCATCTGTGGGCCAGCCCCTGGGTCAGGACCCGGCTTTCCACGCCATCGGACCCAGTCGGGAAGGGGAGGGGTAACCGGGGTTGGGCAAGCCTGGCACCAGATCCCCGCTCTGTGTCCCTGAGCCCCTCTGGGAGGGGGACCCTAAAGGAGGACACCCACACATGCAGCCCACCCAGCTCCTGGGCCAGGAACAAGAGCCAGGACAGGCAGGTGGCCAGCACACAGGCATCTGGCCTGTCTCACAGGTCAGGCCATGGCAGCCACCAGGACTTGGGTGGTTAACACCAGGAATGCAGGCAGAGCGGTAGCAGGCTCCACAGGACCCACAGCCCCACAGCCTGGTTTCCCACGGGACTTGGGAGACCTGGGTGGGGTTCCGGGAGATGTAGTGCAGGAGCTGGGTTGCCAGGCCCTGGGGGCATCTGTCACACCTGATGCTGCCCTGGCCCAGGGCCCCAAGCTCTGTGGTCTGAGTGGGGCAGAAAGGGCCCTCCCCCACCTGGAAGGCGCTCTGGGTGGAAGGCCTGGGACCTTCAGGTGCAGCCTCCTCCTCTTCCTCGCTGTCCGACTCAAACAGGAAGTAGTCTCCAGAGTGGATGACTGCGGGCAGGCAGGGCTGAGAGCCAGCCTTCCCCCCAGGGGACCCCAGCCAGACCCTGGCAGGCCTTTTGGTCCACTTCAGGGTGGATAGGGCAGTAACAGACCCGAATGCTGTGCAGCCACGCTCCCTCGGACCCCCACACCCGCAGGGCCAAGGCCCAAGAGCCACCCTCCCTTGGGGAGCAGCTGTGCAGGCAGGAGCAGTGCATGCACAGGACACAGGCCAGCGCAGTGAGACGAGACCAGAGGGGCAGGCAGGACAGCTGAGGAGCAGAGCCAGCGCGGTGGGACAGGACCAGCAGTGAGGCCAAGGCAGCTGAGCCAGCGCGGGCGGGGGTGCAGAGTGCGCCAACTGCGGAGGACTGGGGGAACCCATGAGGCTGTGGGAGAGTTAGAGAAACAGAACGGGCCCGGCTGAGGCGGGCGGGTCACCTGAGGGCAAGAGTTCGAGACCAGCCTGGCCCACGTGGTGAAACCCTGTCTCTACTAAAAATACAAAACTTAGGCAGGGGTGGGGCACACGCTTGTAATCTCAGCTACTCGGGAGGCTGAGGCAGGAGGATCGCTTGAACGAGGTGGAGGTTGCAGTGAGCTGAGATCACATCACTGTACTCCAGCTGGGGTGACAAAGCAAGACTCCATCTCAAAAAAATTAAAAAGCAAAACACAGAACGACACAGTGCTGCTGGGACCCAGGTGAAGCTGCCGGTCAGCCACCCTGACTGTGTCAAAAAACCAAGCTCTGAGACTTCTCCCAGCAGAAAGGCTGGGAAGAGCTGGGAGGGGAGGACAGGTTCAGCCCAGGGCCTGCAGCCAGGGAGGCACCCCCGACCCAGAAGACCTCAGCACATCCTGAAGCTCCGCACCTAGGGGTCGGGGGAAGTGGGGGAAGTCAGCAGCCTAGGAAGAGGACAGGTGGGGGGACACAGAGGCCCTCAGAGGGGGCCACAGGCGGGCTCATTGGGGGTACCTGTGGCATGGTCCAGCCAGGGCCGCCACCACTGCCTCCGTGGCGGGGAGGACGCCCCTGGACTGCCGGGCCCTGTGAAGGGGCAGGATGAGTGTGAGGCAGCAGTCAACGCACCGGGAGGGGCTGGGGCCATGAGCACCCCAGGCTTGGGGACACAGAATCCCACAGCAGTGGGGGCCATGTGAGGCCATGGGGCTCAGAGCCCGTGTGTGTGGATGGACAGTCACAGGGCCTACCGGGCAGAGGGTGATAACACGAACAGGACGGGGGGCTGGGAGCCCTGTGGGACGTCACGTGCACACACACAGCACACACCAGCAGGCACAGACATGCCGGACATGGGGCCTCGTGTGCCGGGCTAAGTAGCACTCACCTGGCTCCGGGCCGGGGTCCTTGGGGCCACCGTGGTCCACCCGGCCCTGCCTGTGCTTCTCCTGCTTAGCGCGGATGCGCTCCATCCTGCAGGGGGAAGAGGCGGGCGTATACTAAGCACCGGGAGGAGGGGCCGGGGAGGCCCCGCCCCAGGGGCACCTACTGTCTTTTCAGCTGGGCCAGGGACTTCTCCTCTATCCTGCGGTGGAAGTCAATGCTCTTGAGGTTGGCTGCATTGTAGAGGGCGAAGCCCCTAGGGAGAGACAGAGATGGGGTATGGGCACCTGGGACTTGGCTGGAGCGGCACAAGCAGCCGCCACTCCCGCTGCCCACAATGGACGAGAGGCACGCACTGGGGGGGCAGCTGCTGTCCCCAGCCTGCATGCTGTGTGCAGTAAGAGGGGTCAGACCCCCCTGCTGCACAGACCCAGCACCAGGGCCGGGGTGATGGTGCCGGGGCTCTACTGTCCTTCGTTCTCCCTCTAGGTGACACACCCATGTCACAGAGCGGTGGAGCCCGCTCTCCACGGTCCGGGGGCTGAGGCATCGAGGTGCCTCCCCTTCCCCCTTCTGAGCCCTAAGACGGGAGCGCTGGGCTGTATCCGGGCCAGAGCTTGCCTGGAGGCCAGCAGGGCAGTGGCCTGGAGGTCGGCCCTGACGTGCAGGTAGTAGTGGCTGAGGAAGACCCGGCGCTGCAGCAGCAGGAAGAAGAAGCAGATGCTGTCCCAGATGATGCCGGCCTCCTCCACAGGCAGCAGGCAGTCCTGGTCTCTGCCCATCATCTCCTTGGCTGCAAGGCAGGTGCCGACAAGGGTCAGGCTCGGGGCCCAGGAGCAGGGGGTGTCCCCATGCCCTCCCTGCGGCCACCGTCGCCACCACTCACGGTCATAGTAGCCCTTGACAGTGCACACGAGGCTGAAGAGCTGGATGACCCAGCAGAATCCCGTCTGCATCTGCTCCACGAAGACGCAGGCCAGGAGCTGCGGAGAGTGGGGTCAGTGGCGTCGGCAGGCCCCAGGGCAGGTCAGGCGGGCCGGGGCGGGGCTCACCGACAGCATGTTCTTGGAGATGATGACGGTGACGTTGTAGAGGATGAGGCAGTCCCACAGCACAAGGCGGGTCTGCGTGTCCCTCTGCAGCAGAGTGGTGCCGAAGAGCAGCAGGTAGAAGCAGGCCAACAGATAGCCCAGCCCGAAGATGCTGATTCGGGTGGCCCCCGTCACGAACACCACCACCAGCACCAGCCAGAACAGGTATCGGAAGACAGCCACCTTCAGCATGTCGAGGTAGGACCTGCCATGGGGAAGCATCACGGTGGGCGCCCCTGCCACCCATCCCAGAAGGCTCCGGTGGAGGGTGGCGCAGGACATACCTGCAGTGGATGAAGTTGGGCACGGGGTTGGGCTCCCCCCACCGCGGCTCCAGATGGTCAGTATTGACGCCAGCCATGCGCTGCCACTCTTCCGTGCGCTCCGCCGAGAACACCTGCCACTGCTGCGAGGCGCAGAGCAGCAGGAGGAAGTCACCTGCAGGATGCGGGAGCTGCTGCTGGGCCGGGTGCACGGGGACCCACACAAGGCAGGCACAGTGCATGTAGCCCGCCTCCCACCCCGGGCCTGGCAGGGTGTACAGCCACTGGGAGCAGACACACGCCTGCCCAGGGGAGTGGCCAGGTGCCCCTGGGGGAGCCACGGTGTGGGCATCTGTGCGCATGCATATGAGGGCAGGGCCTGCAGGCTGCCACGTGCCTGACTGCACACCTGTGCGCACATTTGTGAGCAGACTGGAGTGTGCGTGTGTGCTCTGAGGGTCCTCTGTGGAGGCGGGGGTGGTTGGGGGACACTCACTGATGAGGTTGGTAGAGTTGGGGGCACTGAAGAAGTCAGGCAGGTACAGCCACTTGATGAGTGCGGAGTTCATGGGGACAGCCCGGCTCCAGCGCCATGGGTAATCTGGGGTTGGGGGCGTCATGTCAGGAAGGGCCTGGCCTGCCTGGGGCCTGAGACATCCCATCCCCACCTGCTCGCCAGTGTCCTCAGACCCCAGGACTTTATCACCAACACTCAGGGTCCATGGGTATCATCTCACGCCCATCCGTGCACACACATGTGGCGTCCTGAGAACTTAGAGACCTAATGTCCCGTGTGTTCACACACAGTCCTTAAACTATGCACCAAGCCCTGCGGGCAAAGGACCCAAGTGAGAGGCTAGAGGACGCGGGGATGGGGGTGCTGGGCATCCCTGAGTGAGTTGGGCCCACACAGCATCACAGTCCCTGACGTGACAATGCATGTGATATAGCAGCTCTGAAAACAGTAGCTGGAAGCTGCACACAGCCACACGCCTACGGCAGGGAAAGGTTCAGCCTGTGGCAGCCACACCAGAGAACGCTGTGCAGTGTGACGGCCTGGGATCCACAAGGTAGCCTGGACGGGCCAGCCGACCACGCAACAGCCTAAAGTGGCCGGCCGACCACGCGACAGCCTAGAGGGGCCCACCAACCACGTGAGACAGCCTAGACGGGCCGGCCGACCACGCGAGACAGCCTAGACGGGCCGGCCGACCACGCGACACAGC